TGTGTGTGTGTGTGTGTGTGTGTGTGTGTGCTTTTATTTTAATTATGTCCATACACTAAGGTTATAGTGACTCTCTCTAATGAATTTTAATTGGATATTTGAAGGTAATCATTTTTATGAGTCTTATGCAAAACTTGTAAGATACTATAATCAATCAAAACATAAAATTTCAATAATTTCAACTGATGCATGTTTATATATTTTACATGTAAATTTCAATTTCATTGAATGTTGTATTTACGACTTACATGAAAATAAAATGTAGAAACTCGAATGCGTTTTCTGATAAATGGGACGAACTCTGCTGCGAAGGATGCTCCCAGAGCAGCAGATAAAACAAGGTGCTGACATTGTAAACATGTGGACCTTTATCGTGACATTTTAGAGGAGCATCTACAGAAAGAGATGTCCACATGCATCAGACAGAAACATAAGGAGTCAGGTTTGGTTCCTATTTGAGTCTTTTGCTTCGCAATCAAGCATTTTAGCAGCTCTTACAATATAATTACAAGCATTAAAGCCATTCCATTATGTATGTGCAACCTTAATTTGTTCCTTTATTTCTGTTCTTTAACACTTTTGTTGTAACTAAATTAAAATTAAATTAAAAGTACACAAAACGAGTTCAGCAAAATCAAAGACATCCATCATATTGGAAGAATTTAGTTCATTCATGTTTAGCAAACTGCTTCTTAAGAAGAATCTGCATTGTGTGATTTGGACAAGCAGAACCAAAATCTATGTGAAAATGCATGTGTAAGTATTTCAATTAATACTGTACCTCGAGTCTCCACAGCATAAATCAATTTTTTCATCACGTTGAACCCAATCACATCCAGCTGGGCCACTGATGACAAAGGAAATAAGCTGAATGAGTGCGAGGCAATCAGGAAACAATAAACGACCAACCTTTTGTTCTTAAATTTTTTACAATTTTAGACACTTAAGCAAAAAGGTTACTTTTTCAGAAACGTCAAAGCACATATTTGATGTGGTTTTATTTTTGACACTGAAAATGACTTTGATTTGTCAAGTTTATGTTTCCTAAACACTTAATTCATCCTTTTGCGAACAAGAGTTATTCACTGAATCAATCAGCGTCAAATAACCAGTAATTTAAACCTATTAATCACTGCAGAACATTTTTATCTATAAAAGGAAATCTATGATTCACTTACTGCCTTCAGCTTGGTTGTCTTTGTTGAGATTGTACACCTGCAAATAAAAGAAAAAAACAGCCCATTAGCTTGTGCAACTAGAAATGTTTTTAGTCAGTAAAGGAGAAGAGTTTGTGTCATAAATCAGTCTAATTGCTCATTAGCAAGTGACTTTAATGTGAACTGCATCAATGTATGGAAACATTTTTTGTATTACTGAAAAAACACGAAAAGTCAATTTACAAAAAAAATGGTTACATTCAATAAGTTTTCAGATTTTTGATTAAATGTTTTGCTTTCTTGGAAGTCAACAGGGTTATTCATTTAATTTGCTCCAGGGGCCACAGTTACTGCAGGCTGAGGAGCCGAACATACAGCAATTAAAGTTATTATGTAAATAACTCAAGTATTACAAAGATCTGTTACTTTTGAAATAGTTAATTTTGCTGCATTTAATCCTGAAAACAACATAAAAAACCTTACATAATAAAAGTAGTGATAATAAAACAACATCAAAAACACATTATGCCAAATAATATTTTGACATCTCTGACTTGCCCAACTTTTAAACCAATTTCAGTTTTATTTTCAAATGCTTGTAGTTTTAACTGTCTTGGGTGTGCATAAAAATGTTTTGTACCAGCTTGTAGCCAAGACTCTGATGTTTCTGTAGACACCAAACATGTCTATGTTCAGTAGTGGGCAGCACTAATCCAAAATTTAGCTCCGCAATTTCTGAAGTGCTTATGAAAATATTTAGGTCCGCAACTTCAAAAGCGCTTATGCCATAGAAAAACTAGCAGAAACTAATTTTAAAGTGCAATTTCAATTTGACACTTACTAACTGGCAAAAATTCATGTAAAATATTTGCACAACACTGCCAACTACTGGTGAATGAACTCTTTTGCAGCTTAATTCTACAACCGCCGATTGCTGGGGATGTGATTTCCTGAAACAGAACTTTGGCTCCTGGTGTAAAAATTAAAAAGTTGTTGAGGATTGCTAGTTCGGCTCACTTTGTCTTTTTCTTTTGTTTGTTGTAGAATTTTCATTAAATCAATAAAGTGATTTTAAAACTGTTTATTGGAAAACTGAAGCGATGCATTCTGGGCACATGACTTATGATTTGTGACGGGAAATGAAAGCACGGAGTACAGGAAACTATCTTCCCTTCAAAATAAGAGCTTGGATTTTAAAGTTTTCCATGTAGTTGCTCCAGTTGACCACTAGATGTCAGTCTTCATCAGCTTAACATCTTTAAATCATTTCTGCGTCTCTAACCCCGTTGCTTCGACCAATTACGTCAAGTATTTAGCTCCAGCATTTAAACTTCATTTTCTTAAAAAAAGTAGCTCCGATTGTAAAGTAAAATTCATCAATACATACAAAATTGTAGTATGGATTACAAACATTTACTGTATTTGCTGGGAAAGGGAGTTCTAAACATTGTCTTCCTGCTACGTAAGCAGACACAAAGCATTGTGGGAAATCAGAACCATGACCGAATGCAACAGTCAGCAAGTATGAATACCTTTCCAATAAGTGTGTTTATCTGGGAGGGGTGCTGTTGGATAGATCACATGTATTGTTATTCATTGACAGCCATACCTTTCACTGTTTTAAATAATGATGACTGGTAGATTATTAGAATTAGCGGTACTGCATTATAATTTTAGAAAGTGCAAATCCGGTTATGAATTATAAAAATTAGTAAGACCGCTAAAGCTCAAACGAAATATTTAGGTCCGCAATTAGTGGATTTGCGCTTTAGCGGGCTGGTGCCCACCACTGTCTATGTTTAACTAAAATAACTCAGAGTAATTAAAGTAAAACCAGGGGTTTGGGCTTAAGAGATGAATGAACCAATTGGCRGACCGAACTTTGGTCACTYGCAGGCCGGATGTGGCCCGCGAGCCRCCAGCTGAATACCCCTGGTCTAAAAGATTTAAAAAAATTGAGGTGTATTATTGGCTCAGCTGTATGGCAGAAAAGTGGAGCAAAGCTTCAGGAAGCAGACTAACATGGGGATGAGATTACAGACAGAAAGCAACAAAAAAGGCTGAATAACAGTGGATTTGTCAGATATGTGTGTGGATGCTCCACTAGTTTGGCATCACCGGGGCCACACAAGGTGAATTAGAAAAAAACTAAAGACAGCTTGATTTTAAACAAGGGTTCAGAAAGTAATCAAGCAACAATGAATTTAACATATAGCTGCTAAAGTCTGCCTTTGTGCAACAGCTGGGAGATGACATTATTTAAGAGTAAAAACTGACAGTCAAAATGTCGAGACAGCTGCAGAACAAAGACRTCTCAACATCAAATGACAGGTAACAGCTGAGAGCAAAAACACAAACTTTCCCTGTTTTAAAACAGTTCCACTGAGTTCAGTAACTACGTGTTCCAGCCTGTGTGCATTTTCCAGACGTCAGGTCGGGAGAGATGTTGGGGCATGAAGAGCCGAAACATGAGAGTACAAAATCACTTGCTTTAGGGTTAAAGTTTAGAAAAYGGCTCAAACCAAATGTGGGATGACTGAATGAAATAAAATAATAAATTATTACAAGCTGCTTTTAGTCATTTGATGACGAGTCATGTAGTGGAGCAGAGATGTGAAAACAAACCCTGCAAAAAACCTCAAAAAGAAGCTACTTTAAATGTGAAGTGTGCTTTTGCTTTGCTTGGAGAACATGTCTCGCCCTCTCCTCGTCTGTCTGTCACTGTTTGTCTTTGTCACGTAAGCCAGTCACCATAGTAACCTACCGGCTCTCTACCATCCATCGCCTCCATCCACAACCTGCGGTCCTCCTCCGACAGAGCCTGCATGGTGATCACGCCCGGCCTTCACGCAGAAAAGAAGCACATTTAGCTCATTGTTAGTCAGTTTGATGAGAGGATMAAAACAACCTGACAGTTAATTTGTTGTTCCGTTAGGAGCTGAACAGATACAGGACTGAACTTGTTCCAACACTATAATCCATAAAGTCATCACTGACTAATAAAAACGCTGCTATGAAAGTTGTGGAGAAGCAAAACTGCGAGGAAGTCTTTGCAAAGCTTGTTTTTACAGTATGTTACTTTGTTGTGGTGGATGTAATAAATGAGACAATGAGTCTCAAGAGATTTTCCTGTATAAATAAAGGATAAATCAATTTTTAAAAAATTGTACAAGCCAGAAACAAGAATCCATTAGTTCCCATTAAATCAGTGATCAGCCTCACRCATCAGATTTTCACCATAAAAGGATCAGAACAGGATGACGAATGTTGCCTGAAAATTCATCAACGAACAAGAATTAATCAGACTGAGCTGCTTAGACAAATCATCATTCGCCCTGTGTGTGTGTGTGTGTGTGTGTGTGTGTGTGTGTGTGTGTGTGTGTGTGTGTGTGC